CCCCACCCCCCCCCACACCCACACCCACCCACAGCCACACCCACAGCCACAGCCACACCCACCCACACCCACAGCCACACCCCACCCCACCCAAACATCAATTTCTATAGCAATTACTTGGAAATATTTTCATTTTTTTAATTTAGCAGTGTCACTTAAAAATGCATACATGACATCGATTACATATGATTAGCTTTATTAAAATAATAAATATAGTTTTTGGATCACAGAATATTGGTATACTGTCTCAGAAAAGAGTCGCTTCGTTCAGCCTACCAATAGAAGATGCACTTCTCACTATCGACATCTATAGATAAAAGTCGGGAAATGAAAAAATCAAAAGGATTCTAATTTATCCTGAATTAGCATAAGATGAGGAGCAACTTATCACTAATCTTATTTGGGGCAAATGCTTTTTTTCTGTTACTACTCATCTTTGAGAAGGATTTTCCCTTGGCAGCAGAATTGACTAGGATGGAATAATGGAAAATGATCCGATGTTTTGCAGCAGGCAGCAGGCATAGCTTAAGCATGTGCTAGTTGAAAAGAATGAATACATTGTATTTAGATTTTCCATATGTCATCGAGTATTTGATTCTTGTTTCTACATTTTCATATGATAAGATGAGGCTTTTTAATTTTTTTTTTTTGATACATCAGAGAATATTTTATTTATGCTCATTCAATCAATTCGTATGTTTTATTTTAAATGAAAGTCAAAGTAATGTAAATGAAAATAATAAAAAAATATTTCGAAAAGTGAACAAATATAGAATCCAAAAATGGATTAACAATAACAAATCAAAGAGACTAGAAGAAAGATGAACATTTTTGTATATCACCCATTCTTTTCGAATAATCGAAATTTATAAACGATTGCATGAAATTAGAATGTAAAAACGTGTTATTATTCTTACTAGATTAGAGACATTTTGTTAAGATACGGCCTCGTGCACCACCAGTTTTACAAACTTTCATTTGATATACTTTGAACTTGATTCTAATTCTTGCAGATACTAAATCAGAAAAATATAAAACGAAGAACTGTAAGACCGTCATTTTTAATATGTATAATTAAAGAAAAACACATTAAGGGAAAAGAATATTTGTATCTATTGAAAACACATGTTGCAATAAGATTATGCTGCATTTTGTCATTATTCGCATCATCAAGAAATTGAAAAATTTTCCTACAACTTATTTCGAGTCATTTTTGATCAAAAAATTTATCAGTACATTTATAGCACATGTTAATAGTGGTTTCAAAGAAATATAATTTAAACATAAAAATATCTAATGTTCGACACTGGTTACAGATTCTAACACCGAAGACACACTTAAATTACAAATAGCTGATTAATCCAAAAAATCTAATAACATCAATAACTCACAAAATATAACAGGTATTATATACGACGAAAGAATATTTTGACTTAGAACAACTTCAAGCAACAAATATTTCGTAATGATTGATGATAATAATTATCTAAATACAAAAATGTAATTTAATACAGTTCTAAGTCCTCAAGTGGTAAAGTGAAGTCAAATAATCAAAACTAAATTTCTGTTCAAACAATATTATTTGTTTTCTACACCAATAACACAGAAAAAATAAAGAGATCAGTACTATCGAAAAGTGTTTTGTTTCGATCAGATCTCTGGAAAGTTTGCCCCAAACCAGAGACCATACATTTGAATCAGAATAAAATTCTCTATCAAATGATGTAACTGTTATCCATGGCACATATTTGAGTAAAGAAAAAATGCCGCATCAAAATAATGGTACTACATAGTATTACCATTGTTAGAATTTTTTTTCTATTGATCAAAATATGTTCCATAAATTGAAAGAAGTGAATAAGATGTAAAATTAAATTCTCTATTAAATCGTGTAATTTTTATCAACGGCATATACTTTAAAAGAGAGAAAATTTCTCATTAATATCATGATACCATACAGCACTATGGTTGTTGAAAATTTTTTTCTACATATGAAAGTATGTTCTGTTAATTAAAATAGATCCCCTAGATTTAAAATTCAATTCTCTGTCGAATGATATATCTTTTATTCATGGGACACACTTTCAAAAATAGAAAATCGCTAATCAATGTTGTGATACCACATATTTGCACTGTTATTGGTTCGAACAGAGAATTCTTATGAAAGACAGAAGTATATCCCATTAATTAAAATAGGTCTACTAGATTTAGAATTTAATTCTTTATTAAATGGTATAACTTTTATTCATGGAAAATGTTTCGAAAGAGTTAAAGTTGTTGATGAATGTTATTTAAGAAAGATAGAACTATGTTTTGTTAATTAGAATAGATCTACTATATTAAAAATTGAATTCTGTATCGAATAGTATAACTTTTATTTACAGAAAATACGTTTTAAATGAGAAAATTTCTCATTATTCTCGTGATATCACATGTGAGCATCTTGTGGATACTCAGATGAGATTTTCTCTACTACTGGAAATATGTTCCGTTATTTGAAATAGGTCAAGTACATTCAACATTTAATTCTCTATTGAATGCTGTAAGGTTTATTCATGGGACATACTTCTTGAGCGAGAAAATTTGTCATCAATCTCAAGAATATTATATATAAGCATCTTGCGGATGGTAAGATGAATTTTTTATTGATGTTTGTAGAGCATTTCTAGTCTATATTTTTTTTTCGAACTTAATTTATTCTGCGACATTCATTATATTCATGTGCTACATACGAGTTGTTATCTGAATCTGTCATCTCTCAATTATATAGCAGGAATTAAATAATACTTTAACACAACGCACTTTCAGTGCGCGTCGAGTACTAATATGACTCATAGTGATGCAAAACTTTATATGAATCAGCTGAGTTCGCAATGAGTCATTGGATATTTTTTTTCTTTTATTTTTATTTGAGTTTCCTCGTCAGATACCAAATAAGGTAAAATGTGACTTGTGATATAGACAGAAGAAAAGGATAAGCACAGAACAGCATAAAAGTTCGGATCAAGTGTGATCGTATAAAAGAAGAGAACGACAGTGACAATAACATACGTTCGTACTCAGAGAGTGTGATACAATAAAAAGAAAAGTGCATTTTTTTTCATGAGTGATAAAACAGAAAAGATAGAAATTATGGAAGCACATCAAGAAGATTTAACAAATATTAACTTTGATACTGATTGGCAATGTTATTGTCAACTTACAAATGAAGAAAATATGGTGACAACTGCACACAATGCGGATATAAATCATGGTTGGTCTTCAATCAATTTACCACACATTCTCGATATAAATAAATCACGTAAGTTTAAAGAAACAAATTTATATAGATGGTGGTATTGTAAACAATTCGATTGCACATCTATCGACAAACACATACATCTAATATTTGAGTCCTATGATGATCAAAATGATAGTTCTATTTCAACAGATATTAATGGCACTATATGGCTCAATAATACACAAATATTTTCTGGCTTATTCATATCATTAACGAATCCTATTGAGTTACCCTCAAAATTATTACGTAATGAAAATATTCTGGTGATTTGTTGTTTAAATTCTACTCTTTCTCTTCATGCTAATCTTATTCTACACGGTAAAATAATTTGTGCAACAGGACAAGTAAATGTTACTGAAGAACTTGTAAACAAAAATACAACTCAAAAGCAAAAAGAGAACGAGATTTTAGATTATACAATTAGTCTCGATGATACAAGTGGACGTATTGATGTTATGTTTAAATCAAAAAAGGAATATAAAGCACCTTTAAAATCAGTTGCATCATCACCACAATTAATTGAATACAATCGAAATGAAAAACAAATCGATGAAAATAAAGAAGAACCAAAAGATGATCTTCTTATACCTCGTTTAGCTATTGTCATACTCATCGTTGGTACACGAGGTGATGTACAACCATTTATTGCGTAAGTTAAAAAAAAAAGAAAAATTTTCAAGATTCTGTGTAGTCTAGAATTCGAAAATTTCACTTCAAATTTTAAACTATTCAAACATAGTCATTGCTTTCATCATGTTCCGTAGCATTTCCTCAGATTGACCTGAATAGTTGAATTCAATTTTCGAGTATTACATGCACGAAGATTCTATTTGATATATTTCTTAGTCTTGGTCAAGCACTTCGAGCAAAAGGTCATCGAGTTCGATTAGCAACACATGAAACATTCCGATCATTTGTTCGTGGTAATGGTTTAGAATTTTATCCATTAGGTGGTGATCCCGTTGATTTAATTTCATTTATGGTTAAAAATACTGGTATTATTCCTTCAATGGATAGTATTATGGCTGGAGATGTAAGCAAAAAACGTCGAGCTCTATCTGATATTCTTGCATCAACATGGCAAGCATGTATAGCAAATGATGATGAAACAGATATGCCATTTACAGCTGAAGCAATTATTGCTAATCCACCATCATTTGGTCATATTCATTGTGCAGAAAAATTACAAATTCCTTTACATATCATGTTTACAATGCCTTGGACACCTACAACAACTTTTCCACATCCGTTATCAAACATTGATAATTCAAGAGGATCAAGAAAAATAATTAATCGATATTCATATGATGTTATTGAAATGCTGGTAGATGAAAATAAAATTTCGAATAAAAACAAAAAAAAAATTCTCTTTAAATTTTTCTAGACATGGGCAGGTATGCGTGATATTATCAATAATTTTCGAAAGAAAACATTGGGTCTTTCAACTTTAAATACTAGTCAAGCAATAAATGTTTTAAACGATGAACGAGTACCACATACTTATTGTTGGTCACCATCACTTGTTGCTAAACCAAATGATTGGGGAGAACATATTAATGTTTCTGGCTTTTTCTTTTTGGATCTTGGTACTACTTATACAAATCCACCTCAAGATTTACTCGATTTTCTTCAATTTAATGATGAAAAACCAATTTATATTGGTTTTGGTTCTATTGCAGGACATGATTCTCGTCGTATTCTTGCAATTGTTATTGATGCACTTATTCGAACTGGATATCGAGCTGTTCTATCTGGTCTTGCTTCCGATACAGATCATCTACCACCAAATATATTTAAAATTGGAAATGTACCACATGATTGGCTTTTTCAACATGGTAAGTGCCGTTTTTCTTCTATTATGGAATAATAACAGTAGTGTCAAACTTGAAAGTTAAATTCAACTATTGTGTCAACTATTCAAGTTTTCACTTATACAACGTTCCGATCAGGCATTACTCTCTGTAGCATCCTCACACAGCCCCGATACTCTGCATCTTCCGTAATATTCGAAGTATATAGTTGAATTCAACTTTCGAGTATTACATATGTGAATAATAAACAAAAAAAAAAATCTAAAATTTCTTTTTTTTTTGCAGTATCAGCTGTATGTCATCATGGTGGTGCAGGTACAACTGCAGCTGGTCTACGTGCTGGAAAACCAACAATAGTTGTTCCATTTTTTGGTGATCAATTTTTTTGGGGTACGATCATTGCAAAGAGTGGTGCTGGTCCTCAGCCAATTCCAGGAAAATCGATTACAACAGATCAATTAATTCAAGCATTTCATTTTGTTCATCAATCAACAACACGTATTGCTGCTGAACATCTTCGTGATTCGATTCTGAAAGAAGATGGATGTGCAGCAGCAGTTCATGCATTTCATGCTAATCTACCTTTAACACGTATGCATAGCGATTTAGAACCAACATTTGCTGCTTGTTATCGTGTAGATAACTATCACTTACAAATATCACGACCAGTAGCACACGTGTTAGTATCAGCAAAAGTTCTAGAAGAAGCTCAACTGTGTCCACATGTTACACGAGAATGGCATTTCAAACATGATAATCATACGCATATAATTATGCATGGTTTTTTTGAACATTCTCAAAAAGCTTTCTCTACAATGTTTATTGACACTGCATCAGAGTTGAAACGAACGGCCAGCAATGAAAATACAAATAGGAGAACACTTGAAGATGCTGGAACTGTTGCCAAAGGTATTGGTTTAGGAATAGGTCATTTAACAATTGGATCCTTATCATTATATGGTGAATTAACCGATGTACTTGATCATGTGCCTTATTTATATGATCCGTATAGGTAAGAGAATTTTATTTCATTTTAATCATGAATATATTATTTCATATTAGTAATTCCGAAGCACGTCCAAGACCAATTGTAATCGATTTTAAGTCAGGTGCAAAGGCAGCTGGTTTAACCTTATGGAATGGTTGGAAAGAAGGTGTTACAGGTGTGATAACACAGCCACGTGCTGGTTATAAACGTCATGGTATAGTTGGTGGTGTAGCAGGATCATTAATAGCTACAGTGAATATTTGGATGAAACCTGGTCTTAGCACTCTTTCATCTCTCACTTGGTTAAGTCGAGGTGTTTATGCTAGTGTAGAAAATGTTTTAGAAAATTACAAAAAAGAAGGAAGACGTATATCACCAAAACTTTTCAATGTCACTTCGTCGTCATCAAGTGTAAGTAATGAAGAAATACAGAATGAAAATGATAAGGAAGTTTCATTAATTGCCAAAATTGCTGCAAACAACTCAGGTTTTCATCCAAAAGTATGTCAAACTATTATTGATGAATTTAAAAAAATTAAAGCAGAACATGAACAATATCGAAACTCTTCATCAACAAAGAAGAAATATCCAGTAGTGTTGTTTTCTAATGACAATAAAATTAAACGATCTTCGTCATCGGATGTACGTATCATTGTATCAAGACGATTCAAAGATTGAAATGAACTGCTTTTTTTTTATTTATTTAAGTGAAAAGTATTGTATAATTTTAGTTAGAATAAAGATGATTAAATATTCATTAGAACGTAGTTTTTCAAAATCAACTAATTCCAAACTAATAATTTACTCATTTGACTAGAACATGATCTAGAATGTGAATGAGGATGAATAAACCCAGGTTCAACAGTACGACAAGAAAACGGCCGGACCCAAGGAATTCCCGCGATGTCATGAAAGCAGAGTGTGGGTATGGGTGTGAGTGTGTGTCTATTTTCTTTTCATCAACATCCACACCCTTATTGACACGTCTGATGAATATTCCATCAGAGATGTATCAAGGAACAATATTCGTTTTGATGTCTTAACACATTTAATCATCAATGAAGAGTGTTCATTTTTGAACTGATGAGACATTTTCCGGTATGTATGTAGAGATTTTTCAAATGTTATCGTCATTATCACATCTACAGATCAAATTTGGTAGGAATAAATCAATGATAATCATCTGAAAAAAGAATTCTGTCGAATGAGGTTATCCCTGCAAGATTGACAAATCAAATATATTATGTCGTAGAGCAAATCGAAACGTGTCCAATGGGATGTATTCAATCTCATTTTTGTAGTATTTCGAAGAAACTAGAGTCAATTGATTCGTCTATGGAAATGAACTGAATGCATGACAAATTACTGATCATAGTGATCTATGATATTCATCGAAATATTTGTAAGGAAACTCTTGAATACAGTTTTGTAGATATTTTCATCGACTGAAACCTCACATACTTGATCTCTCCGATCATTGTATCTTTGATAGCAAAAAAATGTGATTTTTCAATCATTTATAGGTTCATTCGTCTCGATCATAGAAGATGAGACAAAATATCAAACTTTTTCAAAGATTATCCACAATGTAGGACTATAAAACACGATATCTTGAAAGTGTTCCAAAATCTATCCGTATTGCCTAAAACTGCCTGTTATTGAGAAATCTTAGGCGATAATCCTCCTGTAATACTCTATGTCGATGTGTTAACTATTCATAATCGATGCTAATGCAAGATAAACATAATAGTTGGAATCAGGATAAAGCATGAGAAACCATACTGTGAAGTTTAGAAAAAAAAATGGCTAAGGAAAAGCAAAGATCGAATGTCAGTGGAGAGGGTGTGGGTGTGGGTGTGGGTGTGGGTGTGGGTGGGTGTGGGTGG